CGCTGCGCGCCCTGCCGCCCCCGGGCCGCTTCACTCTTGCCCTCCCCTCCGCAGGCAACAAGGAGCGCGGCTGGAACGACCCGCCGCAGTTTTCCTACGGGCTGCAGACCCAGGCCGGCGGACCCAAGCGCACTCCGCTCACCAAGAGGGTCGCCGCTCCCCAGGATGGAGCCCCCAGAGGTGCGTGGGGGCCCAGGGCGCGGAGACCGGCCGAGAATGGGCGGTGCCAGGGATAAGCTTGTCCCGAGGTTCCTTTTGCTCCTCCGAGGACTCCGTGAGGAGAGGTCGGAGCCCCAGAAGGCGCCGCAGGGCAGGCCCTTTTCTGAGCCCCTTCTCTGCTGCCCAGGTCAATAAATGGTATGTGGTTTCAAAAGACTCTATGCTTTCATCCAAGGTGATCTCATCCAAACCTATGGTTTTAATGTAGTTTTTACTCTCAAGTTATTTTCAAATTTTATTTCCACCCCGTCTCTTTCCAGAGCTCCATAGTGGAATATCCATTTGTTCTACATCTTCACTTGGCTATATAATAAGCATCTCAGACTTAACGTGTTACTCATTATTGTCCACCGAGCACCAACTATATGAGCCAGGCACTGTTTGAGGGCGAATTAGTCAGTAATTAGGACAAAAAGGTTTCTGCTTTCATGGAGTCCACACTGTAGCTTTGAAGATACACAAATGAAATAGTGGTAAGGGCTTTGCAGAGAAATAAAACTGATGAGAGTGACCACGTAGCTGAGGTATCTGAGGGGCTGACATTTAAGCTGAAATCTGAATGATCAAAAGCTATTTATCTTCGCTCGCTGGCGATGGCTCAGCAGTTGAGCATCAATCTAGGGTCCAGGAGATTGCGGTTCAAATCTGGTCAGAGCACCTGCGGGGGTTGTGGGCTCCATCCCCAGTCTGAGGCGTGCAAGAGGCAGCTGATCAATGACAGCTGATCAATGACAACTCTCATCATTGATGTTTCTCTCTCCCCCTCTCCCTTCCTCTCTCTGAAATCAATTAAAAAAAAAAAAAAAATCAGGTGCCAGAGTATTTCAGGCATTGGAAACAGCTAGTGCAAAGGCCTGGAGAACATGTTCAGCAAGTTCAGAGACTAGTGGCTAGAGCACAGTGGGCTAGGGATAGAGATAAGTAGTTGGCAGGGGCCAGACCATGGTTTTGTTAGCCAGGAGAAGGAATTTGTATTTTAATCTATGTAAAGATGAAAGCCACTGAAAAGTTTAGAGGAGGGCTGCCTTTTCCCCTGACCAGTTCCCATGCCAATGGGTGGGGCTGTGGCCCTGAGAAAGAGGCTCAGCTTCAGCTTTCAGCACCCCTCTTTTCTCCACACCAAGCACTGCAGAGGAATGATATAAGCTAGGAATGATACAAGCTAGTGCCAAGGTAGAGACACGGCAGGGAAAGGGAAAGGGGGTGGGTAGAAAGTGTAGAGGAGGTAAGATGTGAAATAGTTGTTCCGAAGAGTGGGAAAATGAGGCCAAGTGTAGGACTTCCGAGCGGCACTGGATACCTTTTGAAACCTTTTGCCGTGTTTAATGTGTAACTCCTCAGCATGGTTTATTTTTCCTTCCAACAAGTGCAGGCAAGTTGGGTTCACCAGGAAAGTGGGGCAGTGGGAGGGGATAAGTGAGGTAAGAGTGTTTATAAGAGAGTGATTTTAATACATGGTTAAATCTGAGTAGCTGAGCTGGAAGGGTAGGAGGGGTGGTCAGATTTTGGAGATAGTTCAGTGTTCTTGAGAACACGCAGAGGGGAATGAGAGGCCGAGGTCAAGTGGAAACAATGATCACTGGAGGTGAGGTCAAGAAACCGAGAGGCCACATTATTAGATGAATTAAATATCTGTGTGGATGTTGATGCCCAAGAGCAAGTTATTGATTTTTTCTAATCTTTTTCTGAAGTGGTTCCACCATCCCATTACTAAAATCAGAAACCAGGAGTCATCTTGACTCCTGTCCCTCACCCCCAATCCACCGAGTCCTGTTGCTACTCCCTCCTAAATAAATCTGACCGCTCCATTTCCCCTCATCTTGAGTCTTCGCTCGAGTCCATGCCAGCACCTTCTCTTCTCTTTCCAGGACTACTACTTCACCATTAACCTCCCAGCTGGTGGCCCTGCCTCCATTCTTGACCTGTTCTCATCAATTCAGAGCATACAGAATTAACGTCTTGACTTTTCCTGCCTCTTGGGTGCTGCCCTTACCTCTACCTAGTACTCATTTCCTTCAACTTTTCGTGGCTGCATCTATCTCATCCATCAGTTCTTAACTCTGTGAGCACTTTTCACTACACACTAATCTAGCAACTGTATCTATATTCTAATCATCATTGCAGCTCTGTAAAGTAAGTGCTATTACTATACTATCCCAGCTCAGGTTAAAAGTAACTTGCCAAATGTCACATAGTGGGTGGGCTAGGATAAAATTAAATGGCGTTCTAGGTAGGTGCCTCTATCCCGCTTTTTCACTTAATCCACTTAATTTTTTGTAGTACACAGCATAATTTGGTGATTTTTCTTTTGTTCCCCCCCAATTGAAGCTCTGAGATCAGGAACCTCATCTGCCTGGCTTACTACCCTATCTCTGGTGCCTCACACATAGGAGGGACTTTATATACACTTTTGAATGAGTTGTTCCAGAGAGTAGCCCTCCTTAGAAGACATGAAGTTAGAGTTGAGCTTCTTACCTATTTCGGCACCTGTACTTATGCTTGTTTGATCCTGCTTCACCTTTTCAGTCCCCACCTCAGAGACTTCTCCTGGGGCCCCCCCAATGGGGCCTCCACCTCCTTCAAGTACAGTTTCCAGGCCCCCAGCTGTGGGGAGTTGTCCTGCCTCCACTGTGGACCCCACAGATCTCCCAGTCATTGAGTGTGAGACTCTACTGGAAGATGTGCTGAGACCTCTGGAACAGGCACTGGATGATTGCCGTGGCCACACAAAGGTAAGCCCTGGCACTCTGGTGGGATGGGATGATGGGGAGGGTTCCTTTTTTTTTTTAATCCTTACTGGAGAATATTTTTTCCATTGCCTTTTCAGAGAGAGAGTGGAAGGGAGAGAGAAACACTGATGTGAAAGAGACGCATCAATTGGTTGCCTCCTGCACACACCCCAACTGGGGCCAGGGATCAAGCCTGCAGCCGAGGTACGTGCCCTTGGCTGGAAGTGAACCCAGGACCCTTCAGTCCGCAGGCTGACACTGTAACCACTCAGCCAAACCTGCTAAGGCTGGGGAGGGTTCCTATGGACAGCCAGATGCAGAGGGTCTCCCAAAGGTCGACCCTTTGACCCTCTGGGCCGTGGCTCTTAACCCTTCCTGAGTTATGGACCCCTTTGGAATCTGCTAAGGCCTTCCCAGAAAAATAAACACAGCGTTTCAGGAGGGTTCAAGAGACTCTTGAAGACCAGTCAGAAGAGGCTGGTAGGAATGAGAATTGAATTCAACTCCCTTTAGTGATAAACAGCCTGATTATCATCTCTCTAGGACCTCTAAGCCATTCAGAGCAGACCTTGCAGATATTGTGCTCAGGGAGGCAGGGAAGCCTCTTTCCTAAATTCTCTGGAGACAAGGGATCTGAGGAGTCTTAAAAGAAAGTAGCAGAGTAATTTTCACCTATTTGGTCCTTAGTTTCCTTATTTGTAAAGTAGCACTATAAAATGAGTTTCTGAGGGTCTGAGACACTGGAAATTTTAAAATTCTAGCCTTACATGCTTTTTTCTTGGAAAGAGATCCACTGGTTTCATCAAATTCTCAGTGGGGCCTCTAATCTTTGGGTAAGGAACCAGAATGCTAGGATTAAATGTAAAGTTCCTGGGCCAGAAAAAGCAGGTGCTTCCTATATGGTGCTAGGATTCCCCTGCCCCTGTTGTGCTGGCAGCACTGACTTAGAGGGGCTTTCTGTCTCTCAGAAGCAGGTATGTGATGACATCAGCCGACGCCTGGCTCTGCTGCAGGAACAGTGGGCTGGAGGGAAGCTGTCAATGCCTGTAAAGAAGAGGATGGCTCTGCTGGTGCAAGGTATGAGTGGGTCCCTTGGTATAGCCTAAGTCCCTTATCCTGCTGTGGTTGGCTGAGCGGGAATAGGTGGTGATGACCAGTTGGGAGGGGAGGAGTGGGAGCTGTGTTTTGCCCCAGACTGCTTGCTTAGCCTCTCTCTCTCTCCTCAGAGCTTTCAAGCCACCGGTGGGATGCAGCAGATGACATCCACCGCTCACTCATGGTTGACCACGTGACTGAAGTCAGTCAGTGGATGGTGGGAGTTAAAAGATTAATTGCAGAAAAGAGGAGTCTGTCTTCAGAGGAGGAGGCTGATGAAGAGAAATCTGCAGCCACAGCCGAGGAGAACCAGACTGTACCAGGTGTCCAACAGGACTCATAATCCTGTGGGTTCCTCAGACTCACCTGACCATCTCCTATGCCTAGGCATGGGAGGCCTTGTCTTACTTGGCTCCCTCTTAGCACTTGGGAGACTGACTGCCCTGCTGGGGTTCTTGGCCTGACCCACCTCTGGGGGAAGAGGTCCCACCTGGGCCACAGGGAGGTCACTTGTTACCCCTAACATATGCATTTCAATAAAAAACATCTCAATGTGGGCCCTGGGTAGGTGATAAATCCTTCTTATTCCAAACTGGTCACTTCTGGTGTCCTTGACTGTGTACCCTACAAACCTCTGTTCTTCCTCCATTCATCATGAATGGTCTTACTAGGCATGACCTAGTAAGACTAGGCAGATTACTGTCTGCCACTTCCCCCAAAATAGAACTAAATGCACATCCCTTGCTGGGCCGAGTAACCCTGTCTTTGTATGATTTTATTTCAGCATGAGAACAGAGGTTTGAATAGCATGGGGAGAATTTTCCAAGAAAAGGAGACTGCCTTGTTTGCACTGTATCACCCTTAAGTTATGCAAGTGCTATGGAAATTAGAATCAGATTATTAGAACATAGCTGAAATAAATTGGAGAAAAAGACCAGATTGCTGAGACATGGGATCATGACCTTTTATCCTGGGGAAGGGGAATATAATTATGACTATCTGACTTACCAAATAAGCTGCTGCCTCATTTTGGGCACTAAGGTCTCTTCTGACTCTTTGAAGACAATGGAATCAGGTTGAAGGGGCCTGTGAGAAGGGCCAGTACAGGTTTTGTGTTGGAATAAGGGGATTAGTTCTTAAAGGTGGGAGGCTGAGAAGGCATGAGGAAGAGACCAGAGAAGGCTAAAAGGTTAGGGCAGTGCCTTTTTTTCCTGGCTTGGTAGAGATAGGGATTACAGGAGAGGACTGATTCCAGGAAGGCTGCTTCCTGGAAAGGCTGAAACAGCCCTTGGCAGGGGTCAGGCTACTGCTGTTTACAGTTCGGTGGCTTCTGTAGCTTGCCCCTGTAGCCTAACACAGGCTCAGATTGCTACTGGAAGTGGGCTCAATCTGAGCTGGGAAGGGAATCTGGGACTGTCGATCCTAACCAGGTCTGCTGGGGCCCTCAGCTGTGTGGCTGAGGTGGGAAGATCAGCATTGAGAACACGAGCCAACGCATTTCTTTCAGTATTTACTAAGCAGTCAGACAGTGACATACTCCATCCCCCAGTCCCTGCCTCAGCCCGTGTGGAGGCTGGGGGTTGAGAGGAGTGCCTATAGTCGGAAGAGAAAATAGAGCTAAGGGCTTGGCGAGGTGCCCACTCCTATCCTTGGTCTAGCTGCCTCAGAACTAAGGGAGGCCTAGAACCAAGTCACTCCCTTCCAGATTAGATGAGGCCAGCTGGCCTTTGGATACCCCAGGAAGAGGTGGTGGCAGCAGTGGCAAGAGGGATTCCTCTAACTCCACACACGGGTCATCTGCACCGGATTAGATGTCCATTTCAAATTGTGCGTCATCTGGAGAGAGAAAAGGCAGGAGGACTGGTTGCTGGGCTGAGGGTCTGCAGGCTCAGCTTGTGCAGAAACCCCTCAGAACTGAACCCCCTCTCTACTTAACCAGTGCATTTGGACTCAGGCATTTCTTAATTTTAGGTCAGTTCCTGCTTTCCTTACCGAGTATCTCTTCCTCTGTCTCCTTCTGCTCCTTCAGCTCCTCCAGCTTGGAGGGTGGGGCTGTTGGAGGAGTTGTGACCCCGGGAATCTGAGGGAGGCAGCAGGGGGGTGTCCGGGCAATGGGTGAGTTCTTGCACTCCAGCAGGAACTTTCTGTCGTAGATGATCCTGGTGCCTGTCAAGGGGTAGGGGGGCTACGTAAGAGGCAGGAGCTTGTGTAGAGAGCTGTCTGGGGCCCCAGAAAGGCCTTTTAGGGACCTAGGGGTCACTTTTCCCTGTGTTTTAAAGTACTGCATTGTAGCCCAGCCAGGATCTCAGCTGACTAGCCTTCACAGCACTTAAAGACTTCTGGGCCTAACCAGGATGTAGCTAAGCAAGTGCAACATCCCAGCTGGCCCAGGCAGGAGCTTTTGGTTTAGGGGAGCTTCAGGTCTTCCTTCTAGGAGGAGAACCAAATTTGGAGTCAGGTACTTCAGGCTGCTCTTCTCTGGCTCTGCCACTTCATTGCTTTGTTTCACAAGGTGAGGCCTAGACCTCCAGCCTTAGTTGGATCAGGAGGCTAAATAGCAGATGTGAAGGCGGTTCACCCAGTGTTGCCACCTGGGCTCTGATATCCTGCAGGGAGGAGCTGTGTTCCGTATAAAACAGGACATACTGTTCTTATCCTGACCCCTCCCAAGTCCTATCAGGCTCAGCCCAGCCTGGAGGAACTTGGCACCTAATCCTGTCCTCAAAGGGCCCTGCCCTTGTTCTCAGCCCTCCCCTCAGCCCCCACGTGGCAGGAACCCCTGGGTGGGAAGCCCAGCAGCTCATGATCCCAGGCTGCTTGCCCAATCAAACAGCCGCTAGCAAGCCAGCCACAGATACCCCGAAGCCCATGCCCCCAACTACACGACCCGCTCTAACAACTCTGCAAAACCTGGCGATTCCTGCTGAGGCCGCGCTCAGTTGGGGCCTCCAGGCGGCAAAGTAGGGAGCGGAGGGTGACCAAGCCTCCCAGAACCCAGACCAGTGAGGATTTCAGCCCAAAGTTACCCGGAAACTAGGCTTGGGCTCCACCCCCCCTCCCCTACCTCTCCCACTTCCCTCAAGCTACAACCAGCGGAAGGGGCTGCGGACCAGTGCAAGCGCGCCCCTCCCCACCCCTGCCCGCTGCCTGCGGACCCCAGCCCGGCCAGCTGACCTCCCGGGGTAGTGGCGTATAGCGTGCCCCCCGGCGTGGTGCTGTAGCAGTCGGGCAGCCGGTCTCTGCCCCCGGGAATCGGGCAGCTCGTGAACGTGGACATAGCGAGCGAGAAGAGCAGGAAGAGCAGGAAGGCAAACGGCTGGTACTGAGGGCGCGGAGCGCAGCAGAGTCTGAGGAGGACTCCGTCGACCACGTGCAGCCGCAGCAACACCACCAAGACTACGTCACGCCCGGGGCGGGTCACCCGCCAGTCAGTCAACCCGACGGTCCCGCCCTACCCGCGAGGGAGCATGCCCCGGGCTGAACAAAAGTTGGAAGAAGTCCGGCGCTCACACGCCTGAAGTTCCTCTAGGCCCAACATTGGCCAGCGGCCGAGTACTGCAGCAGCTCAGCTGTTTACTATTCACTGTTTACAGCTGGGCGCTGGGGTCAAGTGAGGTACCGCACACGTTACTACCATGTATTAATTCACCCGGTCCTTTCAGCAGTTTAAAACAGTAAATCACTATTATTTGCCACATTTTACAGGTGAGGAAACTAAAACCCAGAGAGGTTCAAAGCCACATATCTTCTGGGAGTTCCAGGGAGTCAGACCCGAGTGTTTCTGATCCCAGAGCCTGTGCCTTTCGGTGCAGCTGTGTTCCATTAATCAATTACAGCAGAGGGTGAAGGCCTGGTGCACAGCACCAAGGGCAGGCATGGAGGGTGGGTTTTCTGGAAGGGGTGATATCTGGAAGAATGAATAAAGGTTGGGGGATAGGAAAGGCCTCATTTTTGATCTCTCAGCCACAGCTAACCTAACTTCAGGTGAGGAAGGCTTCGTCTTTCACTCTCAGGAAAGGAAGGTCGGAGAGTCTGGCCTTAGGTTTTTTGATGCACACAGTGATATAAAAGGAGGCAGGAGGTGGTGGGAGACTAAACTTAGTACCTATATACACTAAAAATCACTTCATCCAGTTGTCCTCTGGCTTCTTCAAAATCAGTATACCTCCACAGCTCCACCCTCCAAATAAAGTACAGACCACCTGACTTCAGGCATTTATCAATATTAAAGTTCTGGCTTCATCAGATTTTCCCTTAGCTCTGATTTCTTCACTCATTAATTTTTTTAAAAAGACTTTTATAAGTCAGTGCTTCTCAAACTTTAATATGCACATTACCTGGAGAGCTTGTTAAAATGAGAATTCTGATATAGGTGTGGGGTGGAAAGTCTGGGTTTTTAGTAAGATCCTGGGTGATGCAGACCCTTAGGTCAGCAGGTCCTTAGAATCACACTTCAGGGAGCAAGGCTCTGTATATTTTATGTTCTCAGAACGTTTTTGAGCCTCTTACAAAGCGGTGTATACTTAAAGTGTCTTAGCAGTGCTGGAGGGCAAGGTTTGTGAGCAGATTGTGAGGCGCCATCTATGACAACTCAGCTTTTAAGCACATAAGTAGTCTGGTGGGGGGAATAGGGGATGGGATGGAGAAGAGTGAGAATGAAGGTGAGGACCCCAGCCTAGTGAAATGGGGTGGACAAAAGGGCAGTGAATGGAAGGATAGAGAGAAGTGGGGGGATCCAGATACACAGAGGAGGAAGGATAAGATAACTAACTAAGGGTGGGGTGGGGGGAGGGAGATAAACTAAGATAATTCTCCTAATCTCCAGACCTGAGAGTCTTGGTAGCTAGTAATACACCCAATATAATAGAGAACACAAGGGGAGGGCCTTATCTTATATTGGGGATGTACGATGTCTGTGGAATGCTCAAATGGAGCAGCTCACAGAACTTTGGGCTAATGATGCAGATTTGAATGTAGTGAAATCCAAGAGCAATGCATTAAGGTATCATTTGGCGAGAAGATACAGCGAAAGAAGAGCCCTGGGCACATCAACATGTAAGGGGTAATGGAAGGATTCACCAAAACAGGGCTGAGAAAGATCAGCCACAGAAGCACTAGCAGAGGAGTGTCAAAGGCTTCCAAAAAGGATCAGTGTGGAAATGAGGTCTCCCTTCTGTTAATCCCTACTACAAAACAACAGCAGTAGGTATTACGGATATAAGACTGCCGGTAGAAGCTTACTTTTCTTGAGATGCTGTGTGCTATAAGGGCTAGGGAACTAGAGAATGGTTTGAGAGAGAAAGCCAGATCATCATCCATTTAATTTGAACGAAGGACCAAGAGTTTGAATCAGAGGATCAGCATTAGAGTATGGGAGCTTTAAACCCCACAAAAAATCTACGCCCATGTCCCAGCCCCAGAGATCTGCCTAAGCCTAAAAGGAAATACCAGGTCTCTGCCACCAGGCAAATTACAGTTGACCCTTGAACAACACAGGTTTGAATTGTGTAGGTCCAATTATATGCAGACTTTTTCAATATACAGTCAGCCTTCCATATCCCCAGGTTTTTGAATCCACAGGGCTGACTGTATGCATTATTCTATGCCATTTTAGATAAGGGACTTGAGCATCTCAAATTTAGGTATCTGAAGGGAGTCCTGGAATCAATCTCCTGTTCATACACCAAGGAACAACTGTACTTTGGACTCACACCAATACCATCAAGATAAAACAGGAGTTGAAAAGTAATCACAATATAGGTTTGCAATCTGGTCATTAGATTGTTTATCTTGTTTTCCAAATTAGGTCTTGAATCCCAGGCTCCTGCCCCTTTTTGGTGGTGGTCCTAATACACTTAAGTTGTGGATATTTAGAACCACCTTTCCTTCACCCATATTCTAACAGGACAGCATGAAGGGAAAGGAACCTGCCTGTTTGCAAATGGTGACAAATCTTTGAAAACGAACAGAAGATGCAGCATTATCAGAGCCCCTCACCCCAGGGTAGGGTCCACTGGAAGATGTCACAACCAGTCACACTTCTTGGAAGAAGACATCTAGGGCTAGGTTAGAGAACAAGATGTTCAGAAGCTGTTTTCCTACAGGCTTGTTTGCCTCTTCCTGGGATTACAATGTGGTCCAAAGGTCTGACTTAAACAGTAGGACAGAACCATGTAAACAAAGCACACCTCTTTGTTTGGCTTGAAACTATATGACCAACTTTCCCCTCTACAAGCTACCTCAAACAGAGGATGGTCTCCTTATATACTTATTTTGAGGTTTGGAGACAGATTTGACCAGAATTTATAAGAACAGATAGAAACTATAGTTCCAAGTCCTGAGATTTCTTACCTCTGGTTAGGAGAGGGCACCATTGGCTGTCCAACTCTCTTCTTCGCTCTGGTTAGCTGAGGTGGTGGGATTTCCCCTTTGAGAGCAGGGACTGAAGGAAGCAGACTGGCCTATAAAAGGGCAAGTCAGCACACTGTAGCCATAACAGGTTTAAAGGGTCTTAAAACATCAAGAATTTTATTGATAGTGGGGTTTTTTGTTTTGTTTCTTTACATTGAACACTACTTAAGTGGGCCCAGAAACCTTGATGACATAGTTTTATTCCTTGAAAGAGGTATTATTCTCATAGGGTTTGACCTATGTCCCAGCAGGATGTTTCTTAATGACTTGAGGGCTCACTATTGACGTGCAAGGTTTTCTTCTTCCTCCACTAAAATCTCAAAATCAATACCGGACTCCACAACAGCGGCTTTTATTCCATGTGGGAATCAATGGTAGGGGCTCTCAGACCTCAGCAATGTAACCATTCTATTGGCTGCCAGTATTCTCATACTGTATATTCTTATTCACAGGAAGAAGGAAAGAATCTGTGTTAGAACTAGGAGACTCTTCTGAGTTCATGAATGTTCAATTTCATTTTCAGATGAGGAAAGTAAAGCCCAGAAATGAGAAATTATTTGCGTAAGGTCATATAGCTTCAAGTGGCCGAAATGAAAACAATTTAGGCTTCTGACCCTTGTTCCACTGTACCCATGCTGCCTCCCCGCAAATCCCTTGTATATTTTGAAAGTAATTAAGTTCTTACCTGAGCTAGGTTTAGTCCAAGGTTCAGGTTGGTAAAATGGCAGTAAAGTAATGCCAGGAAGAGGCAAGACAGAGGTAGAAGAGATTATAGCAGGCAAAATGGGATGGGGAGTAGGCTATTGGCATCCAAATAGTCAGAAAGAAAAGAAGGCAGTGTTGGTAAGAGGGCAGGGAGGAGGTTAGCCTAAATAACTACTACCAACTGCACAGCTCCTGTTTCTTCCTAATCCTTCTAGGGGGTTTCTCATAATTGCCTCCTTTTCTCATGGGTTCTAGTTCCTGAACTGACATAAATTTTTCATTCTGTTGTCCTCAAGGTGCAGAAGATAGGGTAAAAGGCTCTTCCAGATAATTCAAATGTATTGTGGATAGTTAAGATAGAACAAAACTCACCTTTTTGTCCCACTGAATAATTTACTTAATATCACCTCTCACTAGTATATGTTTCATTAAGAGTAGTTTCATTCATTGCACTATATAGGTGATTTTTTGTTTTGTTAGTGCTAAATGGAAACAGCAGGATATATAGATGACCCAAGGGGTCTTTTATCTCCCTCAAGGTAAGGGGGTCTCCTGAGAACACTTGATGTAATTATCAAGCACTACAAAGGCAAAAGCTTCAATACCAGTGATATGCTCCAAATCCATTCAATAGAAAGAAATGAGCTTAAAGAAGTTCTCGTATGTAAGATGATATGGAAGGCAAAAGAACCAGGTATGTCCAACACAGAGCAAACATGGTGTGTCTCATATAGTGGTGGCTCTAGTAGCCAGGCAGAGAAGATTAAGAACTCCTGCTGGTAAAAGAGTAGAAAAGTGCTGTTTGTGTGGTTTTGCCCCTAATGGCTATTTTTTTGTGCACCCTTCTTTTTGTTGTTCTCATTTTTGTCTGTGCATCCTTCTTTGCCTTGATATGTGCTTTGGGTTCTCTACCAGCCTCAAACGTTTTCTTTTTTAGATTTCTAATAAATAAGTCCAGGAAATTCAACTATATTAAAACATGAACAAGTTGATGACTGTTCTTTTCACTGGGACAGTTTCTCCTTTTCCACTGCATCAGATTCTTGGCATAGCCTATGGTTTGGCCAAAGCAATCCATTCCAGTGTTCCTGAGTTTAGCTTGTTAAACATATTGGCTCTTCATAGTTGGGGCGATGGAACTAAGCCCAGAATTAGTCACATATTTACAAGCATTACTCAGCTGATTCAACAATACAACAGAATTATAGGAGACATCCCCGCCCCCCTCCTATGTCCCAATCCAAACAAAACTTAAAACACATACAACCAAAATATTTAGATAAAAAAAGTCAGGAAGCACAAAAGGAACCTGAAGTTGATGATTTGGGTGCAGTTTGTTCAATATCATCTGATTGAAATCCTATTGTTCTTAATGACATACTCATGGTCCATAAAATGCTAAACCTATCAATGACCTATCAATCTGCTAACATCCGATAAGTCACATTGCAGGGGCTTGAAACTTTCTCATTTATAAAATGATATGGGAGAGAAAGAGAAGAAGGAACTTAGTTTGACACACTAAGTAGATAACTAGTCTTAAAAGTGCTTTTTCAAGGCAGTCTAAGAATAGACTCTAAAGTGTATAATGTGAGAAACCTGTTACAAAATATAGTATTAACAACCTGGTTCAATATGATTGTGGACTGGGTGGTACCTGCATGACCACTGAAAGGATCACACCCCACTTCTAAACACTGTTCATCTTTTTATTGAATATTCTGGTAAATATTTCACATTAATACAGGCTACATTAAGTAGAGCCACTATATGACAAGAAATTTACTCAACTTTTTCCTTTTAAGTATGTAAACAACTGTACATGTATTTACCACCCTAAAAGGTAATCATCTAATTCTCTTCTGCATACAAGTAGCATTCAGTATGTTTAGCCAACGCACTAAGTTCAAAATGGCTAAACTAACCACAGAACATAATCAGGTGGATAGGAAATCACTTTGTTCTTATACAATGGGCAATCAAATTTCCATTGCTAAAGCCTCAGAGAAAATTTCTTAGTTAGGCACATTAAAAAAAAAAATCCCCGGGGTTCTTCCAAGGTCATAGGTTTCTCAAACAAGGCTAAAGAATAAGACCTTCTAACTTAGTTGACATATTTGAGATGCATGTTTCCAATATGAGGTGCCCACGTGCCAGGCCAAATCTGAAAAGGGGGAGGAAAAAATTGGAATTTCTAATTAGGAATCTTTAGACATTTACAAAATGAATATATAAATGCAATGGCAATTCACTGTTTCTGCCTAGGAAGAATACACATACATGAAATAAAATGTTTAGTTGCATAATCTTGATATTGAAAAACTTAATTCAGAACAAGGTGATCAGATATGATGACTTTTGATATTCAGAACTTGCACTACCCAAAGAATGACATGAAAAATCTGAAAAATAAATGAGCAGTAAGTCCATTTTACCTGTTGGGCATCAGTGCATTCAGTTGAATTCTGAATAACTTTTATCATAGGGTTCCAAGCAGGATCTGGGTTGTGAAGTCCATTAAACAGAGGGCCTCCTGGAACATCAGCAAGCTGAGGATGAGAGGGTATTATGGTGCCTCCATACATGGAAATTGGCAGACCCTAAAACAGCAGAAAGAAAGGTTTAACCATCAAGTAATTATAAATGATTCCACAATACCAACTTAGACCTCTCTAGTTTTCCTTCATTAAAAGAACTCCAGAGGATCCTGTAAGTTCAGCACTATACAGTGTTGAGAAACCAAAAGTGGTTATCTGCATCAGTAACACTTTTCAACAAGAAGAGAAAAAAACAACTAAATCAAATATCAAATCATCAGGAAATTTCCCATATTTGATGAACACATATAATACCTCAATTTTCCTGTATTTTAGTTTCACTAATAAGCTTGTGCTAAGAAAAGAGGAACTCTATATATAGGAATGCTTGCAGCCATAATCTGGCTTTATGGCAGCCAGGAAGCTCTCAGAGCAGACGGGGGCATTAGGGAGCTGGCAGCCAGCTTTTTGAGGGGCAGAGGCAAAATCCAAATCTCCTAGGCTTTCTGGGAAGACAGGGCATCTTCAGGATAGTTTGAAGACAAACTACTGGAGAGAACATAATCCATTCTTAAAACTGGATAAAGAAAGATGGGGCAAAGTCATGGAAACAAATTAGTTCCACCAAAAGGGAGAATTATTTCAATATAAACTATTCCTTAACATGTAACTATATTGGCTGGTAAAGTGTTAAACAAGTTACAATGATGTTTGTCAACTCACTTTAGAAAAATCCACAAAACTGCTTGCCATAGGCTGATGAAAAATGTTAGAGGGGGCTACCATTCCAGAATCATCTCTTTCCATTGGCTGATGCTGGGAGAATGTGCTTGGGTCTGATAATTGTTGATGCATTGGATGGTTCCCTATCACAGACTGTGACCAACCTGATAAGCCTTCTGGAAAGAAGAATTGAGAACAGGGTTTGATATTTATTTGGATAAATTAACAAAACATTACCACTTGATCTTTTTTCATACTAAATTTTATCAAAATCATTCCCCTGAAGAATTCAGGGCACGTTCATGACAACCTCTGCAAACCAAAAAAACAAGTTCCTGGAAACTGGGTGAAGTCCTCTGAGTACCCCAGTCTACCTTGTCCTTCAAAAGATTAGGTGTTTTGTGAAAAACTCAAATGATTGTCCCATTTTACACTAAAAAGCTTAAGAGAGAAAGAAAATATGCTTTGAATCTTTTACTTCTAATCAACCCTATATGTTATTTTATATATATCATATATTATTATTATACATATTAACATATATTATATAACATTCCAGACTCTGAGACTGGACTGAATTCTTCAAAAGTATAAACACTCCTAATGATTAAGTGTAGGAAATACATTTTTTTGTTTTGTTTTATTTTTAAAAAACTAAGTTTTAATGACAAAATCCCACAACTTACTTGAGATATCCCTCCAGACAGAGGGCAAGGTAACTGTACCTGACATGGCGTTCACACCAAATGACCAGATTCCACTGTGTCCAACAGGAGCAACAAAACTGGTCCCCACAGGGGCTTGTGCGACAGACCCTCCTTGCCGAATCCGGGCTAGTCTCTCTGTTCCAATGGGGGGAGGTATCTTTCGATCCTGGCTGGCACTGCCTCCTTTTGGTTGGCCCAATGCTGGTGGGGCAGAAGTGGCTGAAAGAGGTGAAGGTGATCCCGAAGAAACAGATGGAATAGG